CGCAAATTCCAAGCACTTCAATGTGATACCTCTTCATCTCGTTTGCAATCTTGGCTGCCTTGCTGAGTTCCAAGGTTGTGCAGACATTTCATCTCCCCACTTTCACTTTCGTTTTCATGGAGGGAGATAAGACACATCGGCCAATTGGCTTCCCGAGGGCTTTCACCAACTGGCGTCATTTTGCCTCTCCAATTCCAGTGAGGAGTAATTTTGTTATTATTTTTTATATATCGTTTGTGCTTTGAAGTTTCTTTAGCGGTTAGATTTGTTTTCCGGGGTAGGGTTGCTAGCCCTACCCCCAACCTTCCCTCTTTATCCGGGCTTATGACCGGCTAGTAACTAGTGAACTAGTTAACTAGGCGACGTTAGTGTTGAAAATCCGGATCCTGTTCACAGTTTATGCCGAGCGCAATAGATCCCCACACTGGTTTCAGATCAATCAAGGCTTGTCTTGCTGTCTTTCCTATTCTGGCTTTGACGTCCTCATCTGTGCTTCTGCCGTCTGTAGTTGAGATGATGCTGCCTAGGTCTAGGTAGGTGAAGGAGAATACTTCATTTAGGTTTATCGCGTTGATGGTGATTGTTGCTTGTTTTTCTAGTTGTTGTTAGTTGGTTGGTTAGCTGGGTATCTTCATCACCTCTTCTCTACATTCACTTGGAGTCCCGTCTTCGCTGCTTCTTCTGTCAACTTGTTGGCTTTTGCTTGTAGATCTTCAAGTTTTTGCGGCAAGACATTAGACACAATTCATCATCGACGAAATCCAAACCTTCTTTTGGGGTATTTTGATCGGTCCAGCCAGCGTATACCCATCTTCTTGCTCCCCACGGTTTGCTGTCTGATCCAGTAGACCACAATTAGGAAGATGATCGGTGATAGTAGGCAACCTTGTGATTAGACAAACATTTTTTGGAACTCAGAGTTCAGGCTTCACATCATTTATCATTGCTTCAGCAGTTTGAAGTAATTTTAGGTGTACACATTTCAAGAGATTTGTCCGAAAAGTATCAATGACACTGAAGTTACTTTCTGCATTTACCAGGTGGTCCTAATCTATCAAACGTTCTAAAGTAGAGCTGTAAAGTTTGTCCTCCTTTCTTCTTTGTGGAATCAGGCTGGTATATAATCGGAAATGAATCTAGAAAGCGAACGCTGAGTACAGCCAATATACCTTACTGCAAAGAAGCACGTGAATTGATAGACACATATCGAGGGGGACAATGGAGTTAGCTTATCCTTCATGCATAATCCAAGCATTGGATGAGTGGAGAAAGGTAATCTGAGTTTAATAGCATAGAAAGTCTTTCTCAATCAGTATGTTAAACGGTTTCTTAATATATCTGCCAATGTGTCTCAGTTGAACTGTAAGCTCATGAAAAGAGGTTTCTTAGGAGCTGTAGAAGTGGAATGATCATTTATTTTCATTCTCATTGTTTTAGCAGCGAAACTACCAGGATTCTGTTTTTCAGTCAAAACATTTTTGAAGAATTTCAGTTCATCATTCAAAGTATCAGGACTGCAGACACTTTAGATGGCAAATAGAGCGAATTAGATTTTATTTGGCGCATAGAGGCACCCAACTATGAAGATTCGTTAGTTGTTCGTTCCACATCGGTTTTCTGTGGACTAACCTTTCAAGAGATCTATTGTCTTGTCTTTTCAGCTGCATACCTGAAAAGGATATCTTGGAATTAACTTTCTCCTTTAATGTGAATCTGGCTGAAGAGTGGCAGGATATCTTCTACATTATCTGTACTAATGGAGATGATGAAAGTTTCATCTACATACTGACCATGAAGTTTGAACCATTTGATCATTCTGCTTAGGTGTCTGCTGTCTAGCTTTTACACGAAGACGTCTGTAAGTTAGGGGCCCAATGATGAACCCATAAGTATGCTATCTTTTTGTCTGTACATTTCATTACTGAAAGAAAATTGGCCGTTCAAGGTGTATCTCAACTACAGTTCTTTCAGACAATGTCTCGATATCCCAACATTCAATCTATGAGAATCAGTATAATCACATATGTAACGTATTGTCTCAGTCACTGGGATGCTTGTAAATAATGAGACCATATTTAAAGAGAACAGGATTTTATTAGAGCAATTTACATTGTCTATAAAGTCATAAATTGTATGCAGTTAGACTTGTCTTCTTATGGCCTCCAAGATTTTGACTAACCATTAGGATGATCCTATCATGTCGAGAATAGGTTGTGGGGTTGTTTATCGAATCCACACTAAATACATACAGTAATAGAAGTGATTCAGTGCCACTCTAAGGTATATGAAAAATTCTACTACCTTTGTGTTGTCACGGAGAAGGACAGAAAATTAGGATTATATCAAGTCTGTCTCGAAGTTGTGGAGTTACCTCATCGGATATGAATATGGACAATAAATTGTGTCCGAAAATTTGTACAGTATATGATACTGTTTCTTCATTGTGTGACATTTCTAGCAAACAGACTAAAGTGTTGTACTACTACTATTACTACAACTATTAATAGTAAAAGGATGATTTTGTTCTGAGAGATATTTCAGCATATTACATGGTACCAGGTGGACAGAAACAGCTGTTGATGAATGGCTATAGTTTGTCGGAAGTGCTTTTCGTAACGCGCAAAGTCCCTCAACCATCATATGGAAGCACTGATCCTGGCTTTGAAGTCCTAATCTATGCCTCCGCCTGTAGTTGAAACGATGCTGCCTAGCTGGGTAGGTGAAAGAGACAACTTCCTTTAGTTTTCTCCCAATGCTGGTGATTGGTACTTGATGTTGTTGGTTGATTGGTTGGTTGGGCATCTTCATCACCTCTCTCCTCTCTGCGTTTACCTGAAGGAGGTCCCGTCTTTTCTGTCTCTTCTGCCAGCTAGTTATTTGTCACCTGTAAATTGTCAGGCCTGTGAGACATTAGAGATAAATAATCATCGGTGAAGTCCAAATTTTCTAGGGTCTTTTCATCGGTTCATCATATGGCCATCCTCTCACTCCTCACATTTTGTTGCACGATCCAGTCCAATGCACCACATTCAGGAAGTCATCAGTGGTGATAGTAGGCAACCTTGTCTTAGTCCTGTCTTCACTTCGAAAGCATCGCTCAGCTTTCCATTGTGAAACACTTTGCATTTAGCATCATATAGCATGTAGCTGTTGAATGAGGTTGATAGAATCTTGTAGTACTCCGTAGTGTTGGAGCAGCTGTCAAATTACTGCTCAGTCGACGCTGTTGAAAGCCTTTTCAGAGTTGATGAAGTTGAGGTGAAGAGTTGAGTACCGTTCTCTGCTTTGATCTATGATGATACGTAGCGTTGCGTTGCGTTGCAATTTGATCCCCACATGATTTGTTTTTCCTGAATTCAGGCAGCCTGTTCCGGTCGTAATTTCGAATTCAGCGCATCTTTTATTCTCTCCAAGGCTACATAATACTTCACTTAGGGTGGACAGGAAAATGACTGCGCACCAGTTCTTGCAAAGACTAAGGTCACCCTTCTTCGGAAGTTTCACAAGGTAGCCCCTCTTCCAATCAATCGGTAGGTACCTTTCTCTCCTTCCTTCCTTTCAAACCTTCTGCAGTAGTGGTGTGAGCATGTCCTCTGTTGTCTCTGCATCTTTTTCCAGTGCTTCTGGTGGAATTCCATCTGGTCCTGCTGCTTTACCGGATTTCAGCAACTTTATGGCATTCACGACTTCACTTCTGCTTTTGTTGAAGGGCTTGTATTCACTGGTAATTCTGTGGCTGAGCTGCTGGTGGTATTTCTGAACAAGTTGTAGAAGATGGTTAGTTGACTCAAGATTTTTTGAAGGGATCAGCCCGTCGTTTACATTTGTTTCTCCTTTTTGATAACTAGTTTTCCTTCACTATCGTCCATTGGTTTTATTATACTTATGATTTCATAAGTATACTAATCACATTTGAAGAAGCGTCTTGAAAACGGTCTAAATGCCTCAAGGCGAGATAGATGGAATAAAGAACATAATTTTACCCTGCAGTAATTCATTATGATGAACTTCTGTCGACTAGTAAATAATATGTTACTAGGTGGTGATTGAAGGTGAAATGAAATTTGGACCATGGCCTTATTCGTACCAGCCACCACCGGATTCCCGGCCTGATGCCCTAACAACTGAGCTATGAGGTCCGATTGCTAACCAGATTTTTATTTCACTTCATTCAATAACTGTTTTGGTAGAGCATCGGGTAGGAAAACTGGTGGTCACTGGTTCGAATTCGGCTGTGGTTCAGATTTCTACTTCACCTTCAGTCATCACCCAGTAACAATACTAGTGTGCCAATCTGCGGCTGTCTTTAGATAGTTGAAAATGAAAAACAATATGTTGTTGCTAAATCTAAAGCAGGTGATACCTTGATGCAGTCCCTTTGGTGTTCGAATTTAATGCGGGGGGGGGGGGGTACCGTCAGAGTATCATCATTTTATACCATTGAAGACCACCAGCGTTCCGCATTTTTGAACACCATGCTCTTGTTTAATTCATTTTTAAACAGTCCTGCAAACATACAAACTTGACAGTTTTCAGCGTCGTATACCGGTAAAAATGAGTATTCTAATTATAGTTATGATGGACAGAGACTAACTGCGGAATCGAGGATGCACGTTTCGTCATTTTGAGACTCATCAGCTGGATGTGCCTGCTTCACGGTGCGTGTTGTTTCCACTGGGATTCGAACTCGGTACCGATCGCTTCAACGCTACTACATCACTCGCTGGGAGGCAGGTACATCCAGCTGACGAGTCCCAAAAGGACGAAATGCGCATCCTAGATTCTACCGTTAGCCAGTATCCATCATTACTATAATTCGAACATAAATAATATCGAGGTATCCATACAGGAGCCTATATGCCAGTAGAAACCGATCGACTCGGTCCCATCCACGATGGTATAATACAAGCAGTTATACTGAAGTGAGTACTGTTTTCAAATACCTCGTTTTGCACTTGCCTAAAACGTTTTTTTTCCCATATCCTTCTCAATGAATATAGAACATATCTGTTGATGGCGAAAATTGGTCAAGGTATACAAATTCCAGTTTCATGGGTTCTTCAAAAGGATGGCAAATATCCAGTGAATGCGATTAGTGCAGACGAAGGTGTTTACATTGGTCGATGTAAACATCGAAACGAATTTATTCCTGGAAAATTTTTATCTGGAAATGGTAAATGTTACTGCCCATATGATGGGGATGAATTGGAGTTCACAGAATACGAATTGTTATGTGACACATCAGTTGATAAATACACCAAAGGGTAAGAACAAGTTCGAACTATGCTACTCTGTCTAGTTATCGACCAAAACAATAAAATCATTTAAATTATTATTATTATTATTAGTCCCTTGGGTTCCTAATGGAACATAGGGCTTCAGTAGCACATCTCCAGTGAACTGTGTTCTCTGAAATCTTTTGAACCTGGCCCCACGACAGTCCACAACCTCTCATTTCCTCCTCGCACGATGTCCTCCATGTCACCCTCACCTCGGACGTCCAAATCGTCGCTTCCCATGGGGATTCCACTCGAGGGCCTGGACTGACGCGTGATGCCCCCAGTCGTCCATCTCAGTGCATGCCCAATCCATCTCCACTTCCTTCCAGTGCATATTTGTTGGGCGATAGGTTCTTGGTTCGTTCGTTACAAGAGCTCCTTGTTGATTATTCTTATTATTCTGGCCATCTGATCTTCAGTAGCCAGCGTAAGCAGTTGTTGATGAATACCTGCCTATATATTTACACTTACGATTATCATTATTATTATTAGTCCCTTGGGTTCCTAGTGGAACATACCAGTTCAGTACGACGTCGCCATTTCACTCTCTTCTCTGTAGTCTTTTGAACCTCGCTCCACGACAATCCACAAGCTCTCATCTCCTCCTCACACGATCTCCTCCATGTCACCTTCGTCACCAACGTCCAACTCGTCGCCTCCCATGGGGTTCCACTAGAGGGCCTGGACTGACGCGTGATGTCCCCAGTCAGCCTTCTTAGTGTATGCCCAATCCATCTCCACTTCCTTCCACTGCATATTTGCTCAGCGATAGGTTCTTGCTTCGTTGGTTCCTTCCCACACCTCCTTCTTCCTTATTCTTATTATTCTGCCCATCTCATCTGATCTTCAGTAATGAGCCAGTGTAGGCAGTTGTTGATGAATGTCTGTAGTTTATTGGAAATCCCTTTCATAATGCGCCAAGTCTCTCAACCATCACATGGAAGCACTGACTTCACTGGATTGGTGTTGAAAATCCGGATCTTGTTCCACATGCTGAGAGCAGTGCAGAAGATCTCCTCACTGCTCACAGGCTAATGAACGCTGGTCTGTCTTGCTTTTGCGATCCTGGCTGGCTTTGACATCCTCGTCTATGCCTGTGCCACCTGTAGTTGAAACAGTGCTTCCTGGATAGGTGAAGGAGGTTACTTCCTTTAAGTTTCTCCCATTGGTGGTGATTGGAGTTTGTTGTTGGTGGTGGTGTTGTTGGTGCGGTATCTTCATCACCTCTGTCTTCTCTATATTCACCTGAAGTCCCGTCTTCGCTGCCCCGCCTCTTCTGACAACTTGTTAGTTTTGGCCTGTAGATCTTCAAGTTTATGTGAAATGACATCAGACACAAGTCATCGGCGAAATCCAAGTCTTCTGGGTTCTCTTCCGCAGTCCAACCAGCGTATCCCCCTCTTCTCGCTCCCCACTGTTTGCTGCACCATCCAGTCAAGTCGACCACAATCAGGAATATCATGGGTATAGTAGGCAACCTTGTTTCACTCAAACGCATCACTGAGCTTCCCGTTGTGAATTACTTGGCATGTGGCGTCTTCATATAATTGTTGAATAAGGCTGATAAATGTTTGCGATATTCCATAGTATTGAATCAGTTTCCAAATTACCTCTCGGTCGATGCTGTCAAAGGCCTTCTCAAAGTTGATGAAGCTGAGTTAGAGTTTAGTTGACTGCCATTCTATACTCTGTTCTATGATGATGCGTAGTGCAGCGTTGCAATTGAACCGCACATGACTTGTTCTCCCAGAAGGCAGGCGGCCATCCTGTTCCGGTTGTGGTTTGGATTCCAGCACATCCTTTAGTCTCTCCAGGATGATACGGCTTAATATTTTGCTTGCTTTGGGTGGGCAGGAGCGTGACTCCGCGCCAGTTCTTGCAAACACTGAGGTCTCCCTTCTTCGGCAGTTTGACAAGGTAACCCTTCTTCCAATCAATAGACAGGTACATTCCCTTCCCTCTTCTCAAACCTTCTGCAATAGTGGTGTGGTGTGAGCATGTCCACTGTTGTCTCTGCGCCTGTTCTCAGTGCTCCTCGTGGGATCCCATCTGCTCCTGCTGCTTTCCTACATTTCAGTAGCTTTCTGGCGTTCAGGACTTCCACTTTTGTTGGAGGATTTATGTTCACTTGTAGTCCTGTGGCTGTGCTGCAGATGGTATTTCTGAACGAAGTGCAGGTGGTGGTGGTGGTCGATTCAAGAGCTTCTTGAAGTGGTTAGCCCATTGTTTCCTTCGTTCCTCTTCTTTCGTAATTAAATTTCCTTCATCATCTTTTATTGGTTTCGTCTGCGTTGATCTCTTCCCTGCTACATAGTACCCTGATTATTTGATACAATGTTGTCAGGTCTCTCCTACCAGCTGGCAGCCTGTTCTGCTTCACTTGCCAGTGTTTCGTAGAAGTGTCTTTTGTTTTTGTGCTCACTCTTCTCTACCTCATTTTCCAGTGTTTTATGCGTTGTACTCAATTCCACATGTTGTCGTTCATCCGTGCACTGGTTTATCTTCAGCTTCACTATCCTCCTCTCCTTGCTCTATCAGCTTCCATGTGTCCGTTGAGATTCATTGCTTCTTATCTTCTTTCTTCTTCCTTCCTAATACGGTTGTGCAGGTTCTTTTCCACATCTCTTTCAAAGACTTCCAGTGTTCATCCACACAGTTTTCTTCAGAGATATTCCTCAATATCTCCCATTTTGTCTTGATGGCTGACTGTGGTGACGATTTCCTTTGTAGTTTCATCCTTCAATTTCCGAGTGTTGTACTTGAACTGAGGTCTATCACCAGCTTCCCTGACGGCTTTGAACTTGATTTGAATAGTGCAGATATTTTTCAACTGACTTTCTATTGTTATCATGCCGTAGAATTGTGTAATCCACGCTGTAACGAGGTAGGTGGGTTACTTGGCACTTAGGATTACGTATTGACAAACATCATTTTGACGTTAATTTTGGATCGTGGCTGGCGGGAGACTCCATAGCTCGCGTTTCATCCTATTTACGTTTCGTCAAATAGATGTATCCGCACTTCAGTGGCTGATGTGCTTCGCACTAAGAGTTCTAGGCCACTGAATCACAAAGCCAATATTTGTGAGACGGGTGAAGTTTTTACATTATTTCTCAGTAATAAAGTGCCCTACCACGAGAAACGATGCTTTAACTGACCACAGATAACATTAGATTTCATCCCCAGTTTGTTGTCAATGCAGGAAGTAATCCTGAGTGCTGATTAAAACAGCTGGTGAAGTTCGATCTCTGGACTATATGACGAAAGCATTTAGTTCGTTTCTTCTGTGTTAGACTCCTTAGGTGAATCTTCAAGCATCTCTAGACCTAAATTCTATATATACCGATAATCAACAGCAAGATACGTCTGGAAATTTGGGACAACAGATGCTTTTATTGTACCCCCGTAAGACTCACCTCGTTCGTATATGTCAAGTTAAAACAGTTCTCCCGTTCATGGATCCTGCTGCTTACGTTGTCTCATCTAAAACGTGCTTGAAACATTATCTCTCATCGAATTATTGTTATATATGTATGATATGGGGATAGAGAGAAATGACTAGTCTGGAAATGGACCAATCAAAATGTAGTTTATGCGGTCACGTCTATAGTTAGACAGACAAATGGTGGGGTCAGCCAACCAATAGAATTACTCTAAATAGTAAACTATCTACATATACTTTTTTTGTTGTTGAGATGAATGGGGATATTTAATTTAGAAGTAGTATTCATCATATACATTTAGATATATTTTTTTGTTTGGGTCTTAGGTCTTTCGACTCCAGTATGCATTTCTACACGTCCACCGTGTCTTATCCATTGATTAGTCGCGACGGAAATCAACTAGGAATTTGTTGAACGTTGATGGCTGACACTCGATATCCCTGCATCATTAGCAAACATAACAGATAGCAGTTGTTAAAATCATAACAAATTAATTCTACATTTCCCCTCAGCATGATGAATGGAAATAATTTCTGATATGTTTGTTTCCAGATTTATCTTATTCGGTTTGTGGATATTACAATGTTTGAAGACAAAAAATAAAGCGAACCCGTGCAAAATGGAAAAAAAAATGAAATATTCCTGTAGCAAACATTTCAATATATAACATTAAATGCACACATGGTCAATATACTTAGATTTTAAACTGCTTGGTTACTTCAGGATAACCAACTTAATGCTGTCTATAACTAAATGTGGATCGTTTTGCAATGTAGTCACCAAGCTAGGATTCTGTCCATGATGATGCACTGAGATAAGTGCTAGGCAATCAGAAAGAAGCCTTAGACCTCGTTTTCATACTTTTTGGCACTTATCAGCAAACATTATCTGAAAACTTGATGAGACTGATCTCCTACCTGAGTTTCACACCCATGTCACTCATTGCTATGGTCAGAAACACTGTCATTGAGCTATTCGGGCCGTTACCGACTTCCTGTATACGAGTTAGGAACATGGATCCAGTCACTAGGAGATAATCAACTTCATGTTACTTAGTCCCTATTTCTGTTCTGCGATTTCGGCAAGGGCTAGGCGGTGCACTGTCGTGATGCACTTTGGCAGATTTTAGTTAGATGGAAGCGATAGGGAAGAAGACCTGGGCCTAGGTTTCATGCTTTTTGGTATTCGTCGCCTTGATGACTAATGCGCAGGCTAATTGCAACTCTATCTACTGGTGTGTGATGCCAATCTGTTCTGTGAGCACTAAGTGAAGGAGACATGGTCTTTGATGCGGATAACCATTCAGTCAAGAATTTCAGTGTTTGAACAGCTGAAACGGAAATATCTCGTATAGTAGTGAGTAGCGCTATTGAAAGCTTATTCTCAGGAAATCATTTAGTTAGTGGACTAATCCTATGAACAACAGATGAAGAAACTGGAACAGGGGAAAGACATGTAAATAGTTAGGATATGCTATTGCTTGTAATTTGCTGTTTTCGACTGGTTCGGATTGATCCATCTGTCGTGTGCACAGGCCTTGATATCGCCTGTAGTTCCATTTTCACATGAGTGGTGGAATGTGGCTGGCAGTGGAATCCAGAACCCGCACTTTGTCGAACCAGCGTCTTGTCAGCTGGATGCATCAGCCTCCCAATGAGTGTTGTCCTCACTAGGACTCGAACCTTGGACCAATCACTTTGAACGCCGGAGTGCTATCCGCTAGGCCACTGAGTCACGACGGCAATTGCTAATGTGATCGATCAAAGTCATGGTTTGTAAAGTCATAAAAGTTGTTTGCATGCATGTTTCAGTTACAACTTTATATGAACAGCATTTAAAATAATTGTTACTCTCATGATTTTCGTCGTTTCTTGCACATACCTTCCAAAGGGAATGATCATTAGCAAGCTCCAAAATTGGGGGAGATGTTAACATAATGCTTATTGTTATATTTCGGAAACTGCTGTGTGCTGTTGTAGCTAGTGATACATGGATATCGAGTGTCAGCCACTAACGTTCAACATTTCATAGTTGATTTCCAGGCCCACTAATCAATGTAAAAAGACCTGATGGAGGTGTGGAAATGTGTATTGTGGTGTCGAAGGACTGACGGCCCAAGTTAATGGAAATTACAGCTAATATATAGACATAGTTGACTGTTTAAAATAATCCTGTCGATTGGCTGACCTACCGTCTGTCTGTCTGCCGATCTATCTATCTGTCAGACAGTAGACGTGATCGCATAAATTAAATTTGGATTGATTGCTCTCCGAAATTGTCGTTTCTCTCTATCCCTATATTACCTATGTATTTTTTTGACAATATTTTTTTTCTAGAAAGTTTATCTGCTTCCAGTTTTGTTTCCCTTTTAGATACGAATGGGTTAAAGCTAAAGATGGTCACTATCCAAAATATGCCATTGTAGCTGGAATAGCAGCCGATGGGAAACCACTTTTAATAGCACGAGGAAGAGTTGAAGGAGATATATGTGTTGGGAAAGTGAGTAATATTGTATAACATGAATTCATATCTTCTACGAATGTATGGTACCCCGTTTGTAAATATGCTAGCATATTGATCTACTCATGAATATTTGCTAAGACAAACAGGTTCTCTATGCGACTAACTGATATCAACAGATCTAGACAAATCATACGGATCAGGATCAATCCGGGCGTGCGGCTGATGAGCTCTCTCCCAAAAGAGAGAGTGTGTGAGTGGTCATGAACTACTCATATTAGTCAGTAGTACACTATGTTCTGTTTCGTGCTCACAATCTTGACACCAATTGTTGTGTCAAAGTGAGAGAACTTTTACTGTCTGAACAACAGCCAATACAGTTGGGAGTGAATCTTAATATATATATGTATGCATTTCTAAACGACCTTGACAACACTAAATCCACATGTGGGTTAAAATGGCTAACAACCAATGAGAGTTCAGCCTTAAGACGGGGTGGAAGAAAAACTAGCAAGGTTGAACTCTCATTGGTTGTTAATTATTTTAACCTATATGTGGATTTAGTGTCACCAAAGCCATTTAGAAATGTACATATTCAGCATTGCTGTCAACTGTATTGACTGTTGTTGAGACGGTAAAATGCTCTCTGTCAGCGATGTGTCTTCATGCGTTCGTGTTGTCGTTGTGGTGGCTGACATTCCGATTTGTATTGAAGTAGGTCATTTTTGTGGTATGTTCGTGTCGTTCATAGTCTGTAAGTCTCATGTCGCTCGTAGACTGTTCCGTTGCACTACCACTCATAGCACAGTGGTTTGTTGTTGAGAGTACAGATCAGCAACATAGGAGTGATTAATATAAGCGTAGAATATGGACACTGTGGTAGGATGCAATTCCAAGTTAGATTAGTCTATTTGAAATGATATTGTTGAGTAGATGGCGTTTCAAGTGAAATTTATCGTTCATAATCATGTCAAGGTAACCATACAACTTTCTGTGCTAGTTTTGCATTCTTTATTTTTCTTGCTTGTGAAATTTTTCGCACATCCAGAATTGGCGTTGCGTCATTTCGAGATCCATTGATCAACCTTTCTCTCCACTTAACTACATAAATCCTCAAGACTGTGCACCTGACCCCCTCCCCACCCTACTGTGCTGTTGTGTGTTATCGAATGCACAGCTGTGGGTAAATTCGCCAAATTACTCATCTAGGCTCTTATGTTCTGTTGACCTGATGGACCCTGTTCGCCTAAAATAGGATGACGAATTCACAAATGATTTATAAATTACACGGTCCACTTTAGGATTTCTTGCAGCTGAGTAGTTTTTCAGCTGCCCTACTTTAATGTCAATAAGCTTACCTTTTATGTATTCCGAGGGGATATAATACACACGCTTAACTGACAACTAACTACGTACGCAACAACCACCGATTCTAACCAGGTACAAACAGAAGGCTGAACTGTATGGAAGAGTTTATTCATCCAAGAATAATAACCAGTTAATTCAAACACACGTGTGCGTACGTATACACGCATTAGATATGACCTTGTCCAGAAATTGAGATACTAACATAGTAAAAGTAAGCATTAACCAATCAGCGACTTACCTTGAAAGTGGGGGCAGCAAATGAACTATGAGTTATTCTGTAAAAAATGGAATGAAAACGGCAACATAAAAAATGTTCAGATCGATAACAATATTTATGCAAAACTGGGGCGTTCCGATATTAGCATCGAAAACCATTCGGCCGCGATCAAAAGGTGTGATGTCTGACACAAAAGTGTTATGAACTAACGAAATATGCTACTATTGAAACCATCAGGTTGATCTGAACTAATTAGACTCTATGACTAGCTGCACAGGTCATCCGGTGATTAGATCACTCTGACTGAGCTGGTTAACAAAATCTCCGGATCAGTCTGAGTGGTTTTTAATTACCCAAGTTGATCAATAATAATAATAATAATAATGGTAGTAGTAGTAGTATATTTTCCTATTCGTCTAGCTTGACCTATGTACTTGACTTCGAATAGAACTATGAAAATATTCAGCTTGGAAATACATCCATCATTCCATAACTTGGCTTGCATACTTCATGATTAAAATCTTTTTAATCAGGTAGATATGTTTATTTAACATTTTTGTTTAGGTACATGAAGGTCACAAGTGCGCATATATGCCATGGGGTGGAGCAGAGAAACCAATAACAGAATATGAAGTACTTGTGTGGAAGAAATAAAAAAAGAATTACCTTCTGTTTGCATATTAGTAATGTATTAACAGAAGGATTTTGATTGGTTGCGTTCATTATATTTTAGTGCTCAATAAAAAACTGAATCTTTTTAATTATTACATTTGAGCGTTGTGCAAATATCTTATTACTATGCATGACTGGAAAAAAAATTGTTCATCTTATGCAACTCCACATACGTACATGTGGACTAAGTGATAGAGAACTGAGTGAGATAAGATATTGTTATAACTTTGCTGGATTGTAATTGGTTTAATCAAGTGATTATTCAGTCTGAAAGCTGACCTTGCACGTGATTGGTCTCGTCGATTCCATCCAATCACACGATGAATAAGAAAATTCCACTCACCTAACATCTTACAATAGAAGACAAAGTGTTGGTGTTTCCTGTTCGTACATACTTTAGGTGATCTGATTCACATGTATATACAAGTATATTTCGTGACTACTATGTCCCACAATTTAGAAGAAGGAGACAACAGATATCAAGCATAAAAAGTGAGATCATAAGCAATAATGGCTCCCACTTCACATGAGATTATTTTTAAACTATAAGCCATAGGTAAATGACATTACTCTTAGACTCGCGTTTTCCATTTTTTGGCTGAGATATAACAGAAATGAAGGTTCAGTCCCGTTTGGCGTTTGGTGGGATCCTCATGTGAGCAGGTGAAGGATACTAGGCAAGAAAGACAAATCAATTGGTGAAGTTTTGAACTTTAGTCAACTGAGATGGTTTAGACATGTACTGCGCATACCGAACCACCGCCTACCACTACGTGCCACGCTGAAGGAAGCTGGATTAGATTACAAGACGGTCCAGGCGTGCCGGACCTAGACGTGGCATCAGCCGATGAAGTTTCTTACCGTTGGTCTTAGTAATGTGGAAAGATTTGGGCTACCTGCCTGGCTTTTCTGATACGAAAGGAATCAGAGGTTGAGAACTCTTGGTGACATAGCATAAAAACGGTCTCAGCGGTGCAGATGTATTCATTTTTTGATGTCTTCTACAACTTGAATAATTACTCTAACCTTCGTCTTTAGATTATTTGTTCGCCCACACAACTTTATCTACTTTGACATTTTCTATCCACCTGTTCTTTGTATACTACTGTGAAATGTGTTAACTTGACGTAATGCGTCTGTGTTCAAGGTTCTACGTATTACGTATTACTCTCCAAGTTATTTTGATAGTTAGAACTTACTTTCTTTTGAGTACATCAGGATTCAATATAATGTGAAATGCTTCAACTGTCCATCATTTCCTGCATATTGAAAAAAGCCTTTCCGAATAATTTTAATATTTTCAATATCAGTTTTTTGACCGTGATAGATGGTATGGACAGTGACTGGCAATTCGATTTGTGAATTTCCCAGTTTTGTACTACTTGTTTGGAAGTTGTTTTGTATAACTTACATGTCCTTAAGCATCAATGACGACGTCGCGAGATGATTCCTCTATGTTATACACATCAAAGTTAAAACAGCCTAATCTATAGACACACAGAGTTGGAAAGTATATCTTAAATAACCAAATTACCTACACACTAAGTAGCAAACTGAATTTCAAATTACTTTTCTCAAACTTTTACACTCAATCATAATTCCCTCTTGAACTCATGAGCCAATAAATAATAGCGATAACATTCTCATATTATTATCCCATATGTATGAACTGTCTACCTCAACTTCATTCACTTTGAAAAGGCTTCGGCAGCGTCGACCGAGAAGTAATTTGGCAACTGCTTCAACACTACGGTTTTGGTCCCACAAACCTTTATCAATCTCATTCAACAACTATATGAAGAGGCCATATGCCGAGTGATTAACAATGGAAAGCTCAGTGATCCCTTTGAAGTGAAGACAGGAAGGAGTAAGATAACACAAGGCTGTCTACTTTCACCTATAATATTCCTGATTGTGGTCTACTGAACTGGATCATGCAGCGAACCATGAGGAGTGAAAAGATGAGCATATACCAGCTGGACCAATGAAAAGAGCCTAGAAGATTTGAATCTCACCGTTGATCATTTATGCCGAATTTCTTGTCTCAGAAACTCGGAAATGTACAGGCAAAAACTAACAAGTTGACAGAAGAGGTGAGGTAAGACAGCAAAAACAAAAATCCTTCAGGTGAACGTAGAGAAGACAGAAGTGATGATGATACCCAACCAACGCCACCACCACCACCAATCAACCAAACAATCAATATCAACATAGGACCAGGCATTACTGCGTAACGGTCCGAGTTGATACACCTCATCTCATAGCAGTACATCAAGTAGAAAAGTAATGAAGTGAAGCATGAAGATAAGAGAATGTAGTCAAAAAAATATTAAGTACAAGAAGATAGAAAAGAGGAATGACGAAATGGTGAGATTCGATATAGCGTCGTTAAGATGATGGTAATGTCTGTATACATCTGCGCCACTGACATCGGTCCTGAGCCATATCACCTGGAGTCGTCTCCAACCACTGGTTCCTCTTGTCCCACCAACCCCAACCACCTAGTCTGCATCGTCCCACATGGCTTAAACCAACAGTCAGAGACTTCATACATTGGTGCCATGTTTTAGTCTGGCCACCTCGGGCCTTTTTCCAGCCTGGATCCACCTCAGCCAACATTGTGTGACGAGGCAATCGGTGACTAGGCATACGTAGTACGTGTCCCAACCGTCTCAGTCGATGAAGGTTCACAACCTTGTCAACTGACTTACCTCTTCTCCCTAAAACTCTACACCTAACTTCTGCATTACTCACGTGATGACACCATGGAATACAGCCTATACTACGAAGGCAACGTTGGTCAAATACCTGAAACCTTCTCATATCTTCCACTTTCAATGGCCATGTCTCACAGCCATACAGCAAACTAGACCGGACTGCTGTGCAGTACACGTGACAAGTGGCGCAACAGGTGGGGTAAATTGGCAAAAGCCAATCGAGCCTTTTGTATCCGTGCAGAAATCTCATCGGCAACTAACCCACCGGGTTGATCCTACTTCCCAGGTAAGTGAAGTGGTCAACACACTCAACCACTTCACTCTCTATTGTTAACCGCGGTACCGCTGAAGACCAGTCCTGGAGCAAAAATTTGCATTTGGGTGGTGAAAATCGCATCCCAAACATTCTCAAATTCCCACTCAAAGTGTTCAGAAGACTCTGCATCTTGTCAGCGTCTTCACCTAACAGGACTATGTCATCTGCATATTCTAGATCTAAGGAAAATTCACCTGTGATCGGGTCAACGTCTTTGTAATTAGGTGACGAGAGGGAAACCTCCATAAGAATATCTATGATAAAATTAAATAAGAATGGGGATAGTGGGCATCCTTGACGGACACCACTTGATGAGTATAGCTCCCTGGACAACTCACCATAGGCTCTAACATGCCCACAAGTGTTCGAGTAGAGAGCTTTCAATAAGGTGATGTACTTACTAGGCACGCCTTTCAGTGACAGACATTGCCATAAGACTTCTCGATCAACGGAGTCAAATGCCGCCTTCAGGTCGAGAAATACAGCTATTGTCGGGCGTCTGTAAGCATGCCTATGTTCCAGGACCTGGCGCAGTGTGAATATTTGGTCGATACATCCACGGCCAGGTCTAAAGCCTGCCTGGTTTTCTCGGGCTTGCTGTTCCCGAGCTCCACTCAGGCGTCGGAGAATTATAGAACTTAGGATCTTAGACACTATGTTTGTCAGGCTGATTCCTCTGTGGTTATCACAAGAGGACTTCTCGCCTTTCTTGAAGACTGGGATAATGAGTGACTTAGACCAGTCGGAGGGGATCGTATTTGATTCCCATATACTGGCTAACACTTCCGTTAGCCTGACTAAGAGAACTCTACCACCATTCTTGTATACCTCAGCAGGTAGTCCGTCTGGTCCTGCTGCCCTTCCCCGTTTCAGGCTACCTACCGCTTTCTCAACTTCTTCTAGTGTTGGGGGACCTGTCTCTATGTCCCATTCAGGGTCCGACTGGATAGCGGGCAGCGCAATGGTGGCTGGAGGCCAGTTAAACTGTTCCTCAAAGTGTTCTGCCCATCGTCCCAGTCGCCTTCCCTGCGAGTGAATCGCAGATCCGTCCTTCTCCGCTATAACCTCACTAACTGTTGTTGACCATTTCCCCCAGTCTCCTTAATAAGTCTAAATAACTGTCTACTGTTACCGATCGCCGCTGCCTTTTCCATCTCTTTAGCCTTTGCTGCCCACCACTGTTCACGATCGTTGCGCAGACTTTTCGTCAGTTTATTTTTAAGTTGCGCTCGCTCTTCATTGTACTCAGAGCCTGCAGGGATGCATTCACGTGCATCCATTAGTTTGGAAGAAGCTGCTGATATCCACTGGCTCTTTTTAGCCATTATCTTGGAGTCGGCTACAGTCTCCAGTGCTGCTTTTACAGTAGACTGAAGATGGCACCAAGCTTCTTCTGGATGAGTGACAGTCTTTTGTTCCGATAACTGCCTAGCCAACTTCTCACTGAACACGGCTTTGGTGTTTTCGTTGTCCAGCAGAACTCGTAGTGGTTTTGTTGCCAAATTTTTTCTACGTCCATTGAGACGCAGGCATATACGTGCTCGGACCAACGCATGATCGCTGTCCAAACACGTACTCCAGAAGGAGCGGCAGTCTTCCACCGATCCTCTCCAGCGATGACTAATAGCAATGTGGTCTATCTGTGTCCATCGCTGAGTCGAGCTCGGTGGACGCCAGGTCAGACAGTGCCTTTCTTTATGTCTGAAATTTGTGCTGGCTAAAAATAGGCGGTTATCTGAGCATAGTTGTAATAGGCGATCACCGTTATCTGTACGTTCAGCTGGGATTCCGAAAGTGCCACCTAAGTGCCTTTCTGCCTCACTCAGTCTACCCACCTGTGCGTTGAGGTCACCTGCAACAACCACTACGTCCGAACGTTTGGCTTTCGAGAGGAGGTTAGACAGTTTATGGTAGAACTCGTCCTTCACTTCATCCGAACTACAGTCAGTGGGTGCGTAAGCAGAGATTACAAAGAGACAACGGCGAGTCTCACTATTCCTTTTAGTTCTCACTGTGCCGTTCAGCCTCATAGCGCAGAGGCGACTATCAACTGGGATCCAGTCTAGTAGTGAGTTTTCTGCCCTGGTGCTTAATGCTATACCTACACCTGCAAGACCACGAGAGCTAGCTATCGAATCTCCAGAAACTCGAAGGGTGAATTTTGCAGATTCACCAGATTGGTCAGGAGAGGTCAGGTGAATAACCACACTTGGGTCCTGTATGCGTGTCTCACAAACACAGCACACATCCATGCCCGAGTTGCTAGAGTCTTTGCCAACGAAGCCTGTTGGCCAATTTGACGGAGGGTGCGGACATTGAAGGCTCCAATATGTAATTTGGAGCGTGGTTTAAGGAGACCAGGGATGCTGTTCTGTGGACTCAGATCGTTGTCGAAGGCTGCAGAGGTAGGAGAAATTGAAGATGATGCAGCATCATTAATTAAGAGACGTGAAGGAAGATTAGAAGGTAATGATGGAGGAGGAGGATAGCAGTCAGAAGAAACTTGGGTGCTGACAGAGTTGTGAGGGCGGTTGACACTTCCCGGCTGCCCACACCGTGGAAGGCTATTTCTTCTTAAGGTACCTGAAAGAGATTTGTGTGACCGCAGAGCCCATCGGACATCTGCTTGAGGCCTGTCACACCCAGCCTTTTGAGTATGATTATTTTGAACTTTTGTATTTTTGGGGCCGGATGGACGAAAGGAAACGACAAGTGAACCAACACCGCCGGCCCGGCAGACCGTGGGGCGTGGTGGAGTGTGTTATTTTTGGGGCCGACCTTTTCTAACCCCCCTTCCACTGAGAAGGCAGCATCAGCATGGCACTGCTGGTCATCCAAGGGAAACACCTTACTGCTGTCACACCCCATCCAGCTAGCAGCAGTACGACTTCGCCCTCAGACCCCCATCATAGTGTAGCAATTTACATCACAACGGTAACCCTTTTTCGTCTAACCACTATCCAACAGACCTTTCTGGTATGGTAGGACCTCGAGGGAACAAGCGTTCCACCAGCATAGCTCGTTGGGTCATTGTGATATGCAAGTCCGACCACCACATCAAGGTAGCAGTTATCAGTCGGCTATGTATCCACCACCACCACCTTCAAGCTCCAGTCACCATCAACGGTAGAAACTTAAAGGAAGTAGCCTCTTTCACCTACCCAGCTAAGGAGCATCGTTTCAACTACAGGCGGAGGCAGGAGCGGAGAAGCAAGACAGGCTTTCATTAGCCTGAAACCATTGTGGAGATCTTCTGCCCTCAGCATATAGCCTGAACAACATTCGGATTTTCAACAGTAATCCAGTCAAGTCAGTGCTTCCATGTGATGATTGATAGGCTTAGTGCTTCACGAGAAGCATTTCCAACGAACTACAGATATTCATCAATAACTGCATACGCTGGCTCTTTACTGAAGATCAGATGGCCAGAAGGAATAAACAACAAGGAACTGTGGCCGGCTGTCAACGAACCAATCAAGAACCTATCACCCAACAAATATGCAGAAGGAAGTGGAGATGGATTGGGCATACACTGAGAAGACCGATTAGGGGCATCACGCGACAGGCCAGGCACTCGAGTGGAACCCCAGATGGGAAACGACGAGTTGGGTGTCTGAGTTGAGGGTGATATGGAGGAGATGGTGTGATAAAGAAATGAGAGCTTGTGGGCAGTCGCGGAGACAGAGAAGAGAGTGTACTGGAGGCGTGCTAACTAAGCCGTATGTTCTACTAGGAACCCTAGAGACAAATAATAATAATAATGAACTACGTGATCTGATTTCTTCCCACTTACTATGTGAAAATGCAATAACTTTCAGAGATCTTATTCTCTAAATAGGCGGCTTCTAACAGTTCGCAAAACACCAGAAATTGATGCTTCTGTTACACTTGGATTTTATACATATATTTCCTTCATCTTCTGGTAAATGCCAATGTAAATTTCGGTGTCCGTCGACTGGGAAAGAAAGAGATTCATAGTGGTGCCTCTATAGGGTGTTAACTGTATGAAGAGAAGCCAACGAAAATTCTTATCATCTAGCTGCTTGAATATCATTAACTTTCAGTGTGTGCATGTACATACGTACGTAGAGTGTTGTATCGGTTATAACTAATACCCTTATGGCATAAGAAGCCACAGAACGAAAAAAGAATTAGAAAAAAAAATCTACGTAACTTTAGCATTTTGTTTCAAGTTACACCAGAAACAGCGTACAATTTAAAGTTAACAGACAAGGGAAATGTGTGATAATCTTTAAAGTGTATTAAGTCAAATGTATCCATAAAAACTTGTGCACACTGAATATTTTTCAGTGTTTTCTCCATACCAACACTTCGTATTCATAAACAGAGTGTTCTTGACCACCCCATGGTAGATAAGCGCACGGATGACCTTCGTGTACCTGAGAGATACGTTAAAATAAAAGTAATAATTAAAGTGAACCCCAGAGAACAATCAGAAATCTTGGAAATTAACTCGGTAACACTATCGGATATTGCCTTTGTATTCATGTTTATACCTTAGTTTTTATACTACTGAGTATTATTGAGCAGTTCATGCTTTATTATGATATTGCTTTATCTACAGACTTGACTTTTCATCCTCTTTAGTCCTATCGTGTTCACCATATAATATCCCTAGATATTAGAATCATTCACAACTCATGATGGTGTTGTAATTTCTCTCGTTGTTCCCTGATGTTCTATTTTACCTTGAAAATTTGTTTACCTTGCGCCTTCATATCATTATGAAAGGTGACGCACGGCTTATATATATATATTCAGAACAAGAATAATCTGTGAGAATAGCTGTGGTTTATTTTTGAGATAAATGGGGATTTTTAATTTAGAAGTAGTATTCATCATGGACTGACATCAGTTGGGGAACCATTGAAAATCTGGGAGCACTGTACAGCTGTTTCGTCCCAGTACGGGGCTCCTCAGCAGTACACACCCACGACCTGGCTAGGGGTCGAAGCCAAGACGAAAGGCGAACACGTTTACCATTGATCGGTTAGATATTATAATCGTTATTTAATAGTTGCCCTTTGGCTTCCTAAGGGAACATAAGGCTTCACTAACACGTCACCATTTTTCTCTCTTCTATGCAGTTTTTTCAACCTGACTCTACAACTCCCCACAAACTTTCATTTCTTCCTCACAACATCTCCATGTCACCGTCACCTCAGACGCCCAACTCGTCGTTTCCCATTTCAATTCCACTCTACGGCCTTAGCTGGCACATCATGATCCCAAGCCGTCTTCTAGGTGTATGTTCAATCAAATCCAATCAAATCCATCTCCACTTCCTCCCGCATATTTGTTGGACAATGGGTTGTTGGTTCTTTGGTTTGTTGCCAGCCAGGCAGTCAGAGTTCCTGCTTGCGTATCACTATTATTCTGGCCATCTGATCTCCATCTTCACTGTCAGTATCGAGTGAGTGTAGGTGGCAGCTGTTGATGTCATGTATGTCTGTAGCTTGTTGGAAATACTCATCGTAACGCACAAAGTTTCTCAACCATCACATAGAAGCACTGACTTGACTGATATTGGTGTTGAAAATCTGGATGTTGTTCACGCATTATGCTGAGTGGAGTGGAGTGCATTGCAGTAGATCTCCACACTGATTTAAGATTAGTGAAGGTCTGTCTTGCTCTGCTTTACCGATCCTGTCTTTGACTTACTCATCTGTGTCGCCTCCGGTAGTTTCAACGATGCTGCCTAGGTAAGTACGTAGGTGAAAGAGACAACTCGCTTTAGGTTTCACCCGTTGAAGATGATTGATGCTTCTTGTTGCTGCTGTTGTTATTGGTTCCGTATCTTCATCACCTGTCTCCTCTCTACGTTCACCTGAAGTCCGGTCATCGCAGCCTCTCCCGTCAACTAGTTAGTTTTTGCCGATACATCTTCGAGTTTCCTTGACTGGAGTTTGTTGTTGTTGTTGTTGGTGGTGGTGGTGGTGGTGTTGGTGGTGTATGTTGGGTATCATCATCACCTCTGTCTTCTCCACATTCACTTGGAGTGCCATCTTCGTTGCCATGTCTCTTGTGTCAACTTGTTAATTTTTGCCTATACATCTTCTAGTTTCTGTGACAAGATATTAGACATAAATGATCATCGGTGAAATCTAAATCTTCTGAGATCTCTTCTTCAATGCTGCCAGCGTATACCCCTCTTCTCACAGCTCCTCACTGTTTGCTGCATCATCCAGTCTACCACAATTAGGAAGATCATTGGTGATAGTAGGCAGGCTTGTGTTGTCTTACTCCTTCCTGTCTTCACTTCAAACGCATCACTTAGCTTTCCATTGTGAATCACTCGGCATGTAGCATCATGTTGCATATAGCTACTGTTGAATGAGGTTGATAGAGGTTTGTGGCAGCAAAACCGTAGTGTTGAAGCAGTTGCCTCCTAAATAGCTTGTCAGTCGACGTTGTCAAAGGCCTTTTCAAAGTGGATGAAGTTGAGATGGAGTTGAGTTGACTGGCATTCTATGCTGTGTTCTATGATGATGCGCATTGCTACAGTCTGATCTGCACATGATTTGTTCTTCTTGAATCCAGCGCATCTCGCAGTCTATACAGGATGATGCGGCTGAATATTTCGCTTGCTTTGGGTGATTGGGGACAGGAGCATGATTCCGCGCCAGTTCTTGCAAACACTGAGGTCTCTCTTCTTCCTCAGGAGTTTGACGAGGTAGCCCTTCTTCCAATCAATAGACAGATACCTTCCCTTCCCTCTTCCCAAACCTTCTACAGTAGTGGTGTTAGAACATCCGCTGTTGTCTCTGCGTCTGTTTTCAGTGCTTCTGGCTGGATCTCACCTGGTCCTGCTGCTTTCCCACATTTCAGTAGCTTTATGGAGTCCACGACCTCATTTTTGCTTTTGTCAGAGTGTTTGTGTTCACTGATAATTCTGTGGCTGAGCTGCTGGTGGTATTTCTGGACGAGTTGCAGCTGATAGTGGTGGTGCTTGATTCGAGATTATTTTGAAGCAGTCAGCTCATCGTTTCCTTTGTTCCTCCTCTTTCCTAACTACGTTTCCTTCATCATCTTCTATTGGTTTCATCTGTGTTGACCTCTTCTCTCCCAGATAGTAACCTGGCCATTTGATACAATGTTGTCAGGTCTCTGTCTCTCCTCCTACCAGCGACCTGTTCTGTTTCACTTGCCAGTGTGTCGTCGAATTGTCTTTTGTCTTTCCATGCACTCTTCTTCACTTCTTTGTCCAGTGTAGTGTTTTGTAGTTTGTGTTCAGTTCCTCTTTTCGTTGTTCATCCCTGCACCATACTGCACTCGTTTATCTTCCGCTTCACCATCTCCCCACCCTCCTCTATCAGCTTGCATGTGTCTGTGGAGGTCCATTCCTTGTCCTGTCTTGTTTTTTCTTCCTTCGTAACACGGTTATGCAGGTTTCCTTCCACATCCCTTTCAGAGTGTTCCAGCGTGGTTCCACACAGTTTTCCTCGGAGATGTTGCTCAATGTTTCCCATTTCGTCTAGATGGCTTACGTTAAGATGTTCACTACAGTTTTGTCCTTCAGTTCAGTTGCTGTTCTGGGTGTTCAGCTTGAACTGTTGCCTATCATCGCCAACTTCTGTGAAGGCTTTCAACTTGATTTTCAGTGTAGGTTCCTTGCGCTAGATAGTGAGTGATGTGAACCTCCTACATCTGCTTCCCTTCCTGATCTCATATTGTATGCAGTAGGCTTTCTCCACTTCCTTGAGATTGAGATGAAGTTGATCTGATTATTGACTCTCCAGCTGAGAGTTGAGAGAGTCCACTTTCATTCCATTCGCTTTCACAGGTTCCTAGCTCAGCACTTCTACGCTATACCTTGTCATCTCTTTTGCAATCTGGGCAACCCTGTCAGCCAGCTTCAAACATTGTTCGGACATTCCATGTCCCCACGTTTACTTTTGCTTTCATCGAGAGAAGACACATCGGCCAATTGGCTTCATGAAGGCTTTCACCAACTGACGTCATTCCTTCCGCCTGATTCTAGAGAGAAATAGGTTTAATTTTATGTTTTATATTTTCTTTCTGCTTCGAAGTTTCTTTAAAGATTGGATTGGTCTTACGGGGTAGGGTTGCTAACCCTTCCGTCTTTATCCGGGCTTTTGACCGGCTAGTAACTAGTAAACTAGTTACCTATGCGAGGATCATGGACACATGCTGAGATTTCAATATGTAAACAGTCAATGTTATGAGAGAATGGAGACCAAATCAAATGGAGGTTTATTTTTATCAAGTGAAATAGCAGTCAGTGTGTTACTTGTACAATGTAATCAATACAGACAGAATAAATAAGGAGACAAAATCTAGATATAGTGAATGGCATATATGCATTTATTTGAGGTATGAATGTGTGTGTATGTTTGTTTATTAAGGGTCGAATAATAATAATAATAATAATAATAATAATAATAATAATAATAATAATGGTTTCAAACAAAGTGTTTGATATAGTATGGAATTCTCAGCATGTAATATTTTAATAAATCCACTCTGAAAATAATATTTTTAAGCAAGATGATTATTGGACATATACAAATACAAAAAGTGAAAGTCTTTGGCCTAGTGGACAATGTTCTAGCGTTTGGAGAGAAAAGTCTCGAGTTCGAGATTTAGTCGGAACAAGATCGCTGTCTGGAAGGCAGATACAACCACCTAACGAATCTTAAAAAGGAAGAAATGTATGTCCTGGATTTTTCCGCTAGCCATCATAAACCATCCTCCCTCCATCCCCCTCCCTATTACACTGACTGTTTGGATATTGAAATAGTTTTGTATCAGACCTTATGTTGGCTGTTGTATTCCACTTTTTCTCATAGGTTGATAACTTGGGGACCTGAAAAGGGGTGGTTATCGATAACCATAGTTGTTCGCTCAAATTATTCTCATTTTAGGTAGTCTTTGGGGATCTTTATACTGCAGAAACCAACTTCCAATTTCAAAGAGGACATGAATCTACTGTATGGAAAAAGTTCGTTTGGAAAGTGGAATAACAGAAATTCATATTCAAAAGTTTCATCGAATGTAATGTCAATTTAAAGAAAAATCTCCCTCGGTTTTGTGACTATGGCTTTTATGTCTAGATGCTTTGTGATATTATATCTTGGGAATTTGACGGATGTAGAAAGGTATAATGATGACCCATTGGTGTATAATCCAAGTGAAAAAGAACCGTAATGGAGGCATAGACTATGTATTAATATTACGAAGTCATAGTTTAAAAAGCGTCATGTCTCGTTATAGGGTTTAAATTGGGAGACGGTTTTTTAAGCTACCAACCGCAGAGATTTTGATCATCAAAAACAATCCAATGCTGGATTTTTATGGGGAAATTGAGCAGCTCCTAAGAAGAGTAGCCTTCTGTAGCCAGTTCATCAAAATCTTCGGTGAGATTTCAAATCTACTGTGTGGTCAGAAAGAATAAAAAGTAAGAAACACTGGCTGGCAAAGAACCAACCAAGAACCTATCACTTAACAGATATGCAATAAACAAAAGTGGAGATGGATTGAGCATACACTGAGAAAACCATTCTGCGACGTCACATGCCAGGTCGTCGAATGGAATCTGAATAGGAAACGATGGGTTGGGCGTCTGAGGCGAGGGTAACATGCAGGAGATGATGTAGTGTGAGGAAGAAATGAAAGCTTGTGGGGAGTTGTAGAGTCAGGTTATGAAGACTGTATAGAAGAGAGTGAAATGAAGATGTATTAGTGAAGCCCTATGTTCCACTAAGAACCTAACGGACAAATAAATAAATATGCATCCATGACTGTTTTTACACAAAACGTTGAAAGCTGTTTGAACGTGAATGAAGAGGGTTGTGTTGCCTACGCTTATCAAAATTTCATGTTCTATGTCTGCTTTTGAAGTCATTTAGATACATGTCCCCCCATCTTCAACTCCATGGCTCGATAACACCTCGTGTTGTATGTGCGACCACACAAATGTAAACTGGTAAAGACAGTGGGATATGACTTAATCATTGATGTAGTGTGTAGGTTTGTGGTTTTTTTTCCACAATTATGAGATTAGCTGCTGAATATGTTTTCTTTAATGGCTAGTATTAGTCTCTGTATGCTAGGGTGACATGGACGCTTTTCTTAGAAACCGTGTATAGAGTTGATCTCGGTACTACCTGAACTCCACAGAGGTTTATGAACTTCTTCAGATATCCATTTTTCATAAGTGTTTTGATCACTAATTTGATATCTTCATCTATCATATGTGATGTACAAATCAGATAGATCCTACTACACAGGCATTTTACTAGACCTCACTCTTATTCGATTGGAAAAAACAATGAAAATTCAGGTATTGTCCTGTCCATGTAGGCTTTCTGTGTACTGACCGTCTTACCTAACCATCTTCTCGTCGACTCAGGAGTACGTTTAAGAATAGCAGATGATTATCATTCTCTTTCTCACAAGTCAGGCTGATGTGAGTTTGTACTGTGTTGAGTCGCTTTTTAGTAGACAAACAATATCCTCTTGCCTCCCACAAATCACTATGATGTCATCAATATACCTCCTGTAAAGAGAAACTTTAACAATGAGATCACTAGGTAGATTTTCGACACGTGACATATAAATATCAATTAGTAATAGTCCTAAGAGACTTGTCATATTTACACCGTCACCTTGTTGAAAGCGTTAACAGTCAAGTGTGAAGTGGACAATGTCGATAAAGAGGAACAATAGCTCCCTCAGAAAAGTTGAAGTAATGCGAAGTGAGATGCTTCCAGAAAACGTGTAATCATGCAGAATATTAATAATCTTGAACAACTGCATTTTAGTGAATAAAGAATCTACAGCAAACAAGTACAAGGCTCTTATTTCAGTCTGTATCTAAGAAATGTGGTAAAGTGAAACACCACAATTCACTGTATAAGAATTCGTGCACAATTAAGTGTCCATGGCCATAACGGGTAACTCAACAACATACTGCCAAGTGTAGCAGAAATTTCTATATATTTCGGATAGGTGCGAAATCATTTCTACTACTGCATGCATCTGGTGTTCATTCGATAAACAAACATGCGGTCATCCATCCCTCACTACCTCCAATCAACTAAATTACTTTCGTCATAATCCCACTCCTTCATAACCTACTGCCTGATCGTGTGTATCACCATACACAGTTATCGTCGAGATTTTCTCTACAGTTCTCATCTCATTAAAACCTACTCATTTTCAGTTTGCCAAGCTTCTGTGCTCCCTTATTTATTCTAATCCACCGTAGCTGGTCGACTACTTCCATCTATGTATTCAACCAGACAATCATTACAAGGGATTTGGTAAATCAAATCATTTTGACTAAGTGAATCGACACGATCGTGTAACCTACAAAGCTTGTTTGCAAGTCGGTTTGTTGGTTTCACTGGCATTGTAATCCCAACCAGTCTAATTGAGAATTGTTCGTAATGCTGCTGAGGTGCCTTCCTTGTAGGATGACATAGCAGAGACTTTGAATTCTCTGTCAACCTTGTCACCATTATTATTATTAGTATTAGTATAAGAAGTGACATTGATTACATCTGTATTACTACTTCTACTACTACTACTACTACTACTACTACTACTACTACTACTACTACTACTACTACTACTACTACTACTACTACTACTACTACTACTGCCACTAATACTTCTACTACTGGTAATATTTCTCTTTCGACTTTTTAGAAAGGTATTGATTGAGACGCAAGGTATTCTTGATGTGTCTGACTTCACGTCGAAGATTTCCTGGTCTACTGGTAAGCTTCTCCCACCCCGCCTCCCCTATCACTTAGGCATTGAAATGAGCCTACTTTAACTGAGATGAGGGTTGTAGGATTTGAAGTCTGAGTAGAGATTCGAATGGGAAGGTTTCATATAGACGACACTAGTCTCGAAACTTCCATCTCGTGTTCGTTTAATCTTACAATCCAACATTGCTAGCTCAAATTCATCACTTTCTACGTCACAGGTAGATTGGATTGGATTCACTACTGAATTCCTATGTGCCAAGAACCTGTTGATGGGTATAGATTTCAGTATAGTAGACGTATCATCTACATATCGGAACCATATCTTTGAATTATTACTAAATATTTGAAGGGTCATCCATTGCTGACTATGCATAAGTATGTCAGCGACGATAGGGGGATATTGATGTTCCCACGGTTACCCCTTCAGTTTGTTTATATTATTTAATTTTGAAACCTGAAGACTGTAGATGTCAGGCACAATCGTACTCCTGACATGATTTCCTCGACCAGCACTTTAGCTTGATGGGAAGCTCATTGTCTTTCTTAAGAGTATTCCTAGCTGCCTCTCGTACCATATCGATCGGTTTATTCGTGTGAAGGCCCGTTGTGTCAAAACTAACCTTTTTTTTTCGTTGTCATCTAGATGGATATCATCTAATTTATGCTTTAAGTTATAAATGTTAGTAGGTCAGTATTTCGAGTGATTTCTTACGGAGCCTAGCACCAGTGCTAAATCTTTACACAACTTCTTAGTTTCTAGAAACTGCTATAGACCTGATGGGATAATCTGGCTTATGAATCTTAGTAGTATTATATATTCTGCTAGGATTATTAGTTCTAGGAATTAACTTCAACCATTTTGACTCGCCCAGAAAAGGTTTGATTCGGTGTATGAAGTCCGTTCATCGATTTGTTAACCTTGTTCATGATAGTATCCACTGATCTCTTAATTACCTCATACGGTCCTATTGCTATATGCTCATTCACTTTGCAGATGTAGTCAGATTTCTTCATTAGAACTGCTGAGTTGCATTTAATCGATTTTTCGGTTACTATGTTGCCTTAATTTTGGAGGTTTTTAAGGGCTTTTTTTGGCTTGGGTAAATAAGATTTTTGTCTTTTCAGTGTTAGAGCTCTTACTTCATCTGTAGTTGTCTTATCAGCTGAACTTAACTCTGTTTCTATTTTGGAAATGACATCTAGTTTCAGTTCATTAACTGCTACATTGAAGTTAAGGCCTGCCGCCAGAACTTTTACTTCTGTTAAGCTTAGGACTCTATTTGAGAGACAAATAACCTACTTTAACTTATCGATCACGGGTGTTTTGATATCGTTGACTGCATACTTTTGTTCCAGAAGGTTTTCTAACTCTTTAATTTGAATCTATTGGGAAACCTTCCCATTCGAATCTCTACTCAGACTTCAAATCCTACAACCCTCATCTCAGTTGAAGTTGAAGTAGGCTCATTTAAGTGCCTAAGTGATAGGGGAGGCGGGGTGGGAGAAGCTTACCAGTAGACCAGGAAATCTTCGACGTGAAGTCAGACACATCAAGAATACCTTGCGTCTCAATCAATAGCTTCCTAAGAATTCAAAGTCTCTGCTATGTCATCCTACAAGGAAGGCACCTCAGCAGCATTACGAACAATTCTCAATTAGACTGGTTGGGATTACAATGCCAGTGAAACCAACAAACCGACTTGCAAACAAGCTTTGTAGGTTACACGATCGTGTCGATTCACTTAGTCAAAATGATTTGATTTACCAAATCCCTTGTAATGATTGTCTGGTTGAATACATAGATGGAAGTAGTCGACCAGCTACGGTGGATTAGAATAAATAAGGGAGCACAGAAGCTTGGCAAACTGAAAATGAGTAGGTTTTAATGAGATGAGAACTGTAGAGAAAATCTCGACGATAACTGTGTATGGTGATACACACGATCAGGCAGTAGGTTATGAAGGAATGGGATTATGAAGAGAGTAATTTAGTTGATTGGAGGTAGTGAGGGATGGATGACCGCATGTTTGTTTATCGAATGAACACCAGATGCATGCAGTAGGAGAAATGATTGCATTCATCCGAGAAATATGGCAAATTCTGCCATGCTTGTCACAAAGAAGGAGTTGACTGTTGTGAATATGGACAGTAAATTGTGTCCAACACCTCATTCAGCAAATGATACAGTTTCACTGTGTGATATTTTCAATAAACAAACTGGTATAGGAAGATCATGTACTCGTTCGCTGTAAGCGATAGGAATACACAAAATGAAACTGCCTCTGAGAATACAAATGTCGAGATCAATTCACACTATAGCATAATCTGGTTATTATATTTCATCTTTTCTAATGTATTTATAACTAAAGATCCTTAAACGGACAAGTTACTAAAAACAACAGAAATCCCCTTTCATTCTAATTCTTAAGTAAAATCAAATTTCATGATGAAAATTTTAAGTGGATTCTTTTTCACTCTTTCAAGAGATAGATTAGCATATTTTATTTCATCAAAAATATGCACAAAACTTTTACTTACCTTTCCAATGCATGTTTCACCATTGACATTCCCTTTTGCAATGTATAAAGCCTCACCATCTTTAGCGATTCCAGCGACAATTGCATGTTTTGGTACATCTCCACCACAAGCTATTTCCCAACTATAGCTAAAGAAAAAAATTATATTTCATACATTAATGATAATGAACTACCTAGAATTGTAAATTTTTATGAATATTTAGCAGTTTCAGAAAAAATTTTTTTGCGCTTTTCATGAAACTATCAAAATGCTGATTATTTCAGTTATGAGATAGTAAATGGTGATATTAGTTGCTTGAAGGCAATCGACGAAAATCATTACATTCCTTCAATTGATTGGAAACAATAATAAAACACTGAAAATTTCACTTCATAACCATATCGCTGTAATATGCATATTATCTAGGTAGCTAGAAGTCTACTGACAACTGTATTTTTTTTTTGTAATGCTCAAACTATCTCAGTAGTAGAGAAGATTAGGGCTCAGGTTAAAGGTCTTGAGTTCGACCTTTGGCGGGTTCCTGGTGTATGTACTGCTGAGGAGTCCCATACTGGGAAGAAATAGCTGTCCAGGGTTTGCAGGTTTTCAATACTTCTCCAACTGATGTCATTCCAAGATGAATACTACTTTAAAGATTCTTATATGTTTATGATATATATGTAAATACAATTGTACAGCTTTAAAAAGCGATCTCTTCCTTTCTTGATGACTCTTTGGTTTTTTAAAGTAAACGATGGTCTGCAATCTGCTTCACTTTAGGGTATGGTAAAATATTTGTATCTCAGGGTAGAAATTAATTTAGTGCTGTGGGTTTCATTAAACCTGATGATGTAACATTTACGACAAAATACCAGAGATCAGAGGACGAAAAGTCATCGTCACTTTGGTAAATCTACAATTGGTAATACTACTTTCTCACAAAGATTTTATGTATTACTAAATGCTATAGATTATATTGGAAGCTGCTGACGTCATTTTTGTGATACAGTCAATTCTTTATACTAAATATTAGTGAATCATATGACCATCTTTCAGCCCAATGCAAAAGTATTTCAGCTACGAAGTGACTGGCTACTCCGTCAATAAATAATCATACACTTTAATGAGTATGTTTCAGATGAGAAACTCTTTTACAATCTAATATACTTATGAAGAATGTGATTCAATAAAAGGGTCGGATTTTTCAAACTATGTTGGTAGATGGGCTCCCAAATAGGTAGAAACGCACTTTCTGGACTCCACCGGTATTAACCAAGATAAATACAACATGATGAATATTTGCCAGTATTGAGGCATCCGCAGAGGAGTAATCTAACAACAGAGGTCAAATAATTCGACACAACAAGTCAGCAGGAAATTACATTACCAAAAAAAGTAACTGATACCCGTTGAGCAAGAGGTGGATAATTCTTTGAAGTGTGAAGCGATGATTACAGGCTTCAGGTTTCTGTGAGAGAAGCATTGCTCACTGAAGTACTGCTATAGCCAGTTGTTATTATTATTATTTGTTCTTTGGGTTCCTAGTGGAACATACGGATTCACTACCACGCCTCTAGTACACTCTCTTCTCTACAATCTCTTCAACACGGCTCCACAACTGCCCACACGCTCTCATCTCTTCCTCTCACCATCTCCTCACTGTCACCCTCACCTCCTCCTTTCACGTGAAGCTTCCACTCGAGTGCCTGACCCGGCGCATGATGTCCCCAGTCGCCCTCCTCAGTGTATCCCCAATCCAATCCATCTCCACTTCCTTCCAGTTCATATTTCTTGAGTGATAGCCTCTTGGTTGATTCGTTGACAGCCAGCCACACTTCCTCGTTGCTCACTCTTTCTGGCAATCCATCTGAGCTGCAGTAACCAGTCAGCATAGACAGTAGTTGATGAATGTCTGCAACTTGTTGGAAGTGGTTTTCGTAACGCGCCAAGTCTCTCAACCATCACATGGAAGCACTGACTTGCTTGACTGAGTTAGTCTTCAAAATCCGGATGTTGTTCAGGCTTTATGCTGAGTGGAGTGGAGTGGAGTGGAGTGGAGTGCAGTGTAGTAGATCTCCACACTGGTTTCAGGTTAATAAACTCTGGCCTGTCTTGCTGCCTTTCTCATCCTGGCTGCTTGACGTCCCCGTCTGCGCCATCACCAGTAGTTGAAACAGTGCTGTCTAGGTGTAGGTGAGAGAGGCTACTTCGTTCAGTTTTCTCCCGTTCATGGTGATTGGAGTTTGTTGTTGTTGTTGTTGTTGTTGTTGGTGGTGGTGGTGGTGGTGTTGGTGGTGTATGTTGGGTATCATCATCACCTCTGTCTTCTCTACATTCACTTGGAGTTTCGCCTTCAGGATATCCAGTCTACGAGTGCTCAATAAGACGAAATGCAGGTTCTGAATTTTACTGCTAGTAACAAAGATGAATACAATATGATCGGCTACGGACTATGCACAAGAAACTACATGTTCCTCTGATTGCGTAGAAACAAACTGAAAGCTAAACAGTTCGGTAGAAATTTAACTTAAATGTCTACAGTACGAAAGATATCTGATACTGATCAACTGACCTAGTAAACTGTAATCCAAGCTTACACAATCAGGGGTTCTCACTGATGTTAATAGCACACGGGTACTTTTTAGTTTAAGATCTTCTCCAGCTACTGTGAATTTCAGCAGGAAATTTGGAGACTCTGAGATATTTCTAAACCAGCTTTGTATGCATACTCATCATTTTAAAAGCCAATATTGTATCCCACTTTTTTATGTGAATTTTATCGATTTTCATTCATTTCTACTTATACTCTTCCTTCCGACTGCCTCCAACCAATCAGCATGTTTCAGAGTGGATGACGATTATGTATCTCCTAGCTGGTTGGCGACATTGCAAAATTGTTGCGTATGTTTAGTCAGGACTCAGGTTGGTCGCTGCCTGAATAGCTCAGAGGTAACGCCGCTGTCTTCAACTCTATCGAGATTACACAAACGCCTTTCTAGTGAATACCAACAAATTCACGAAGTAGGTTGAGCAAGGATTCCTAGTGATTCCTTTCAATCAATCAACATATATATGTATATATTCACAAATAATAGAATAATTACCCTTTAGAAGAACCAGGGATACAACTTTCACACAAAACTTCATAGTCAATTGACTCTAACTCTCTTCCACCATATGGACAATAACATTTCCCGTGCATTGGAACCAGTTTTCCTGGCAACAGCTCACCACTGTGTTTACTTCGTATTATGTAGACATCATCAACAGAGATAGCACCAGGAGGACAAAATCCACTACTTCCTGGAATCCATGAAAGCGGAATTTGTAAACCACGACCAACTTTAGCCATGACGTTTTAACTATGTGAATGTATACATGTAAAACAAAAATATACCTAAGTGCATTTGGAGACGTTTGTATAGGACTTGAAATGTCTTTAATTAAACAATTTATCCTATAAAATAAGTAATAAAGCTGTAAATAACCAGAAAGGTTGAGGTTGATTACTTTTACATACCAAATCCTGAGTAAAACCTCCAATTTCATGAACGAGATGGGGAAATGCATCGAGATAAGTGAGCTATGCTATGGTATTTTTAGGCCTTGACTATCTGAAAACTTCCCAGATATCAATGACGGTACCATACTACTTATTAGGTTAAAAATTACTGCGGAATAGTCACTGAAATAATCTGAAATCCCTTTGCTTTCAAAGACTGATAGCAATACTGAAGACGGATAAGCGGAAGGTATATGGAACTTTCACTTATTTCATCAAATTTAAGGCTAGTTAGCAACAGGGTGTTGACAGCTACTTGGAAGCGTACTGAACAATCCAATCCATTTGTCACTTCAGTGGTTTCTTTACGATGCTTGTTGTTCCGTATTAGGCTATAAATTACCGATATATAAGTTGTTACTTTCCTCATAACTGTTCGATAGATTAGAGAGAAATACGATTTAGCGTAATTAACAATTTAAACTGTTAACATTCATAGCAAAATAGAGAAATGAATATGAGAATCATGGAAACGGATATTTTGGTCAGAATATCGTCAGACAGACAAAAAAAATCAACACAGAACCATGCACACAAGTACATCAGTTCGAGCTGCCACACTTCACAGAAGTATACAAAGAATAGTTGGATAGAAAAAGTGATATCATAATAGGGAAAGTATTGTAAAAGAACTACTGCAGAGACTAGTGGATGCGCTGGATTCAAGAAAGACAAATCATGCGGTGATCAAACTGCAGCAATGCGCATCATCATAGAACACAGCATAGAATGCCAGTCAACTCAACTGTACCTCAACTTCATCCACTTTGAAAAGGCATTCGACAGCGTCGACTAACAAGCAGTTCGGGAGGCAACTGCTTCAACACTAGGTTTAGCTGCCACAAACCTCTATCAACCTCATTCAGCAGTAGCTATATGCAACATGATGCTACATGCCGAGTGATTCACAATGGAAAGCTCAGTGATGCGTTTGAAGTGAAGACAGGAAGGAGTAAGACAACACAAGCCTGCCTACTATCACCAATGATCTTCCTAATTGTGGTAGACTGGATGATGCAGCAAACAGTGAGGAGCTGTGAGAAGAGGGGTATACGCTGGCAGCATTGAAGAAGAGATCTCAGAAGATTTAGATTTCACCGATGATCATTTATGTCTAATATCTTGTCACAGAAACTAGAAGATGTATAGGCAAAAATTAACAAGTTGACACAAGAGACATGGCAACGAAGATGGCACTCCAAGTGAATGTGGAGAAGACAGAGGTGATGATGATACCCAACATACACCACCAACACCACCACCACCACCACCAACAACAACAACAACAACAACAACAAACTCCAATCACCATGAACGGGAGAAAACTGAACGAAGTAGCCTCTCTCACCTACACCTAGACAGCACTGTTTCAACTACTGGTGATGGCGCAGACGGGGACGTCAAGCAGCCAGGATGAGAAAGGCAGCAAGACAGGCCAGAGTTTATTAACCTGAAACCAGTGTGGAGATCTACTACACTGCACTCCACTCCACTCCACTCCACTCCACTCAGCATAAAGCCTGAACAACATCCGGATTTTGAAGACTAACTCAGTCAAGCAAGTCAGTGCTTCCATGTGATGGTTGAGAGACTTGGCGCCTTACGAAAACCACTTCCAACAAGTTGCAGACATTCATCAACTACTGTCTATGCTGACTGGTTACTGCAGCTCAGATGGATTGCCAGAAAGAGTGAGCAACGAGGAAGTGTGGCTGGCTGTCAACGAATCAACCAAGAGGCTATCACTCAAGAAATATGAACTGGAAGGAAGTGGAGATGGATTGGATTGGGGATACACTGAGGAGGGCGACTGGGGACATCATGCGCCGGGTCAGGCACTCGAGTGGAAGCTTCACGTGAAAGGAGGAGGTGAGGGTGACAGTGAGGAGATGGTGAGAGGAAGAGATGAGAGCGTGTGGGCAGTTGTGGAGCCGTGTTGAAGAGATTGTAGAGAAGAGAGTGTACTGGAGGCGTGGTAGTGAATCCGTATGTTCCACTAGGAACCCAAGTGACAAATTACGAACAATATAAATAATATTGGTGTACGAGAACAGTTAGGGTAAATATTCAAACTGTAAATGATTGTGACCAGTTTTCAGCCATGTCACTAAAAGTACTCAACCACTTATTCCTTTCTTCTCGAGGTTGAATGTCTACGTCTCATCTAAGAAATGAAACCAATTGCACGATATTTCATGGACTGGTGTCATATCTTAGTGTAGCCACCCTGAATCTTTTGCCAACCTAATCCAGATTTCCCTAACATAGCAAGTCAATGTAGGCAGTGGCCGGCTTGGCATGAACAGTACATATCGAAGCTGTCTCAGTCGACTAACGTTCAAAACTTCATCAACCAACTTCCCTTTTTCTTGACTGGTACGTTTCACTTGACGTCAAGATTGCTCACATGGTGATTATACCAAACATTAGCACTGCTGCAAAGATACATATGGTCGAAAAAGTGTAACTGTTTCATTTCAACCGCTCACAACCGTATAACAGGAGACGGAGTCGTGTTTTTGGGGTTTCAGGTAGATTTTTTTATCTAAGAACTATAGTGGATATCCATTTTCGATCAAATGTTTTCTTACATTAATGATCTCTTCATCTATAGTGTCTGTGACGCAAAGGTGTTAGATGTGCCTTGTAAGGAATATAAGGCAACTGCTTCAACACTAGGTTTAGCTGCCACAAACCTCTATCAACCTCATTCAGCAGTAGCTATATGCAACATGATGCTACATGCCGAGTGATTCACAATGGAAAGCTCAGTGATGCGTTTGAAGTGAAGACAGGAAGGAGTAAGACAACACAAGCCTGCCTACTATCACCAATGATCTTCCTAATTGTGGTAGACTGGATGATGCAGCAAACAGTGAGGAGCTGTGAGAAGAGGGGTATACGCTGGCAGCATTGAAGAAGAGATCTCAGAAGATTTAGATTTCACCGATGATCATTTATGTCTAATATCTTGTCACAGAAACTAGAAGATGTATAGGCAAAAATTAACAAGTTGACACAAGAGACATGGCAACGAAGATGGCACTCCAAGTGAATGTGGAGAAGACAGAGGTGATGATGATACCCAACATACACCACCAACACCACCACCACCACCACCACCACCAACAACAACAACAACAACAAACTCCAATCACCATGAACGGGAGAAAACTGAACGAAGTAGCCTCTCTCACCTACACCTAGACAGCACTGTTTCAACTACTGGTGATGGCGCAGACGGGGACGTCAAGCAGCCAGGATGAGAAAGGCAGCAAGACAGGCCAGAGTTTATTAACCTGAAACCAGTGTGGAGATCTACTCCACTGCACTCCACTGCACTCCCCTCCACTGCACTCCACTCCAATCAGCATAAAGCCTGAACAACATCCGGATTTTGAAGACTAACTCAGTCAAGCAAGTCAGTGCTTCCATGTGATGGTTGAGAGACTTGGCGCGTTACGAAAACCACTTCCAACAAGTTGCAGACATTCATCAACTACTGTCTATGCTGACTGGTTACTGCAGCTCGGATGGATTGCCAGAAAGAGTGAGCAACGAGGAAGTGTGGCTGGCTGTCAACGAATCAACCAAGAGGCTATCACTCAAGAAATATGAACTGGAAGGAAGTGGAGATGGATTGGATTGGGGATACACTGAGGAGGGCGACTGGGGACATCATGCGCCGGGTCAGGCACTCGAGTGGGACCCAGATGGGAAGCGATGAGTTGTGCGTGTGAGGTGAGGGTGACAGTGAGGAGATGGTGAGAGGAAGAGATGAGAGCGTGTGGGCAGTTGTGGAGCCGTGTTGAAGAGATTGTAGAGAAGAGAGTGTACTGGAGGCGTGGTAGTGAATCCGTATGTTCCACTAGGAACCCAAGTGACAAATTACGAACAATATAAATAATATTGGTGTACGAGAACAGTTAGGGTAAATATTCAAACTGTAAATGATTGTGACCAGTTTTCAGCCATGTCACTAAAAGTACTCAACCACTTATTCCTTTCTTCTCGAGGTTGAATGTCTACGTCTCATCTAAGAAATGAAACCAATTGCACGATATTTCATGGACTGGTGTCATATCTTAGTGTAGCCACCCTGAATCTTTTGCCAACCTAATCCAGATTTCCCTAACATAGCAAGTCAATGTAGGCAGTGGCCGGCTTGGCATGAACAGTACATATCGAAGCTGTCTCAGTCGACTAACGTTCAAAACTTCATCAACCAACTTCCCTTTTTCTTGACTGGTACGTTTCACTTGACGTCAAGATTGCTCACATGGTGATTATACCAAACATTAGCACTGCTGCAAAGATACATATGGTCGAAAAAGTGTAACTGTTTCATTTCAACCGCTCACAACCGTATAACAGGAGACGGAGTCGTGTTTTTGGGGTTTCAGGTAGATTTTTTTATCTAAGAACTATAGTGGATATCCATTTTCGATCAAATGTTTTCTTACATTAATGATCTCTTCATCTATAGTGTCTGTGACGCAAAGGTGTTAGATGTGCCTTGTAAGGAATATAATTAAATTCCTCTTCAGGTGCAGCAGTTCATCCCATTTTAATCGATCTCCTCAAAGTTCCATCAGTCTTTCTTGTTAGTTCTACATGAAGATAGGAGATTTTCTATTCCTTTTCCACTTCAATAGTGAATTCTGTTGTCACGTGGCAGCTATTGAATACATACAACACATTATTCAAGTCGTATATATTATCAGAAAAAATGAAAATGTCGTTACTAGACTTTTTATGTCTTTTAGTATTCAGTATTTTGCTAAGTAAGA